TGGAAAAGTTAATGTCCTAGGAGGCCAAGGAACAGGGGTTGCTATCCAAGGTGCGGGCCAGTCAAGGTGTCCTGGTGGTACAACTCTAAGTCTCTTTACATATGCTGGATAATTATTTTTGTAGCTTCTATACCCTTATAGTGGCATCCAAGCCAGTTGTAAGCTGATTGTCCTAATAGGTCCTGTATATTTTGAAAATATACATATCATCATTATGTTGAAATGCTTGACATGAAAAATTTGATTGAATTTGAAATTTGCTTACATTATCACAAAAATGTCACTATTACTTGTCAATGAAGGAACAGTTACTAGATTTATTCCAACATAAGTTTTCACTGTAGGTTTTTGAATGGTTATAAAAATGATTTAAAAATTTGTATTGCCTCCTTGTGTTAACAGATTTTCTTGTTGATGGAGATCATCCAGAACTTGAAGAGATTATCATTAAAAAGAGTTACATGTAACAATTTCCAACCTGTTCCCCGCAAGAGAATGGGCAGAGGTTATGAAAAGTTTGTTCATTGATACAGATTCAAGTGTTTCACTGAAATACTTGAAAACATTTTATTTGGAAGTCTTATATAAGTTTAGTATTTAATATCTTTCTGAAACTTTTGTATTTTATTGTTCCTATATGGAGATAAACAAAGTATAGTGATTTTTTTTCCCCATTAAAGCCTAAATTTCCTTCAGTTTACTCCAGGGCATGATATAAATGCTGTCATTTTCTCTATGTTCTCACATAAAAAATGTTGGGAGTTTTTAAAAACAACTTTATTGAGGTGTAATTTATATGTGAAACTGCTCACCCATTTTCAGTGCACAACTGATGATTTTTTTAAAATTTATTTATTTATGATAGTCACAGAGAGAGAGAGAGAGAGGCAGAGACATAGGCAGAGGGAGAAGCAGGCTCCATGCACCGGGAGCCCGATATGGGATTCGATCCCGGGTCTCCAGGATCGCGCCCTGGGCCAAAGGCAGGCGCCAAACTGCTGCGCCACCCAGGGATCCCACAACTGATGATTTTTAGTTAATTTATTGAGTTGTGCAACTGTTGGCATCCGTTTTTAGAACATTTTACTCATCCTGATATGATGGGATGCTACTTTTGAAGGGTGGTGAGCGGGACCAAAAGGCATTCCTTTGGGTCCTGAGCAGCCAGTGGGCAAGTGTGAAGGTGCTGATTCCCAGGAGAATCACCCCCGAAGGAGGACAGAGAAGACCAAGGAAACAGCTGTTGCTCTAGGGGTGAGGGGGGTGAGGGGTACTTTGGATTCTTCATGTGTGGACCTGCTGTCCCTGCTAGACTGTGAGCCCTGCCCCTGCCTCTCAGTCCCTATAACTTAGCTCCGTCTCTGGCACAGAGAAGAGGCTCACAGTCAATGTTTTCCCCATGAGGAAGTGTGTTCCAGCTCTTAATCTTCCCCTCCAAGGTTGCTGGAGCTGACCAGAGGCACACGGGGGAGCTTCCTTGGCAAATGACAGTGACCAGAGCAGAATCAGGCTGTCTCAGCAGGTGGGACAACAGAGAGAGTGCAGGCCCCCTGGGCTGCAGCCCTGTCTTCTTATCTGGCTCTGCTTCTGACCCTTTGTTCCTCTCCACTGGCCATTGCACCTTTCAGCTGTTCCATCTCCTCCCAGGCTGCCAGGTGACCACGCCGTCCCAGTTGCCTTCAGCTATAAAGCCCCAGGATCACGATGGTGCATCCTTCCCCTGGTGTCTAGTGGAACTGCCTGTATTTGAAGGTGCCACTTCAGGGGAGCAGGGAGACAACTGTAGGGGCTCTAGCCCCTGCTCTGCCTGAGGACTCGGCGTGGTATTGCCTGAACTGCTGCAGCCCATCCCCAGATACCAGTGAAGGCAGCAAGCAGGAGAATTGCCTTTGCCCCCTCATGAAGCAGGTCTATTGGCAAGACGGCTTCTTTGGGCACAAGAAGAATGAGGAGATGCAAAGCAAGCACATCAAGCTGCTTTTGGGTGCACTTAATCGCTGCTCAGACCCGCAACCCCCTTTTGAAAAGCAGAGTGACTTTACTATTCGAGCTCCATCATTCTTTATCACTAACTCTCAACTCTGCTCCATATTTCCCTTTGGTGTTCTCCTCCTCACTATAAACTCAGACTTACACCCCACATCACAGCTGTGATGCCATGGGAAAGCTTCCTGGTGGTGGCCTGAGCTGGCAAAGTGGCTGTAGCTATGACAGAGAATGCTTCCAGAACTGGTCTTGTTCTCAGGTGCCTCAAGTGGGTTTCTGGGTTGGGGTTGCAGCTGCTTCTTGACTACCAGTTGAAGGAGTTTTAGAGTTTCTGGTGTCTTCTCCAGGCTCCCAAGCCCTTGGCGTTGGGGCAGCAGAGGCAGCCCCAAGGGGAGACAGTCAGTGTCCCTTCCCCCAGCCCCCCAACTCCCTGGGCATTACCAGGACCAGTCTGGGCTTCCTGGGACTGATCAGACCTGACTCTGGTTTTCCTGTCTAATCATGTTGTTAATTAACATCACAAATCTTCGCAGCTGGTGGCTGCTTTTTGTATCTCATCCCCTCCTCCTCCTTTCTGTGCACCAATTAGTCTAAAAGCGGGGAACAAATCTTCAAGCATTGATTTGCCTTTGTAGTAATGATTATTTTGGGAACAACCCAACCCCTTCCAAGCAGATAAACTCCCCCCACACCCTTAGTTTGAACCGCATGCTTCCTTCCTCATAGATTTTTGGTTTTGCTAGGCCAGGACTGGAGAACCCAATTATTGAAGAGAATTATGCCACATTTGTCTCCTCTGGTTTTTAAAGACAAAAGGGATTGTGAGGAGAGAAGGGGAGAGCACACCTCCAGAGGATGTGGCTCATTTAAAGGTGTTGGCTAGTTTTTTCAAAAAGTCAGTTCCTTGAAGGTGGAAACCTAGTCTAGCCAAATGTCAAGTGGAGCAAGGTGGGAAAAGCCTCCACTACCACCTTTCTGTTTATGGAGTGGTTCCTGCCTCAGACACTTCAGCTCCTGCTGGCGCATCAGGTCTTCAGGGGTCAGGGACCAGTGCGTGTCTGTGCCATGAGGACTGTGCACAGCCCCAGCCTGGAGAGGGGTGTGGAGACAGAGGGGCGGGTGCCCCTCCAGTGGTCCAGGGACAGTCAGGCCTTGAACCCCGTGTCTCTGTCCTCCCTAGAGCACTTGCCAGTAGACCTCTATGGCAGTCCCCTAGAAAGGCGATAGGGTCACATGGCAAATGAAAAGAAGTATTTGGCCTTGTGCTCACTAGGCAGTGTTTACAAGAATAGATGGTGCATAGTGAGACTGAGGGGGTTTCATCTGTGGTGTCCTTTTACCTTCCCTGTACTCCCTTCCATCCGTGCAGTATCCTCTCCTTGTTGCTCGTCCACTCTCACTCCCTCCCCAAACACACAGATATGTGACCTTAATCATTTCACTCTCATCCTGTTCTCTCCTATGTGGGGTATTGTGAAGGCCTGGGCTCTGTGTGGGAGCAGTGTCTGCCAGGATGGGGATGAGGGCTGCAGAGCAAGCTATGCTTTACCATCCCCATCCTTTGTCATTTTTAAATTAAAAAAAATATCTTTTTACTTCAGAGAGAGCAAGCAAGAAAGAATGAGAGCAAGAGGGAGCACAGAAAGAGAGGGAGGAGCAGACTCCTCACTGAGCAGGGAGCCTGGCACGGAGCTCAATCCCAGGATCCCGGGATCACAACCTGAGCCTAAGGCAGATACTTAAGTGACTGAACCACTCAGGTGCCCGCATTTGGAAAATTTTAATCATAGTAAAATACAGATAACATACAATTTATCATCTTAACTGTGTTTAAGTGCGTAGCTCAGTCGTGTTAAGTATATTGATACTGTTGTGGAGTCTGTCTCAGGAACTTTTTCTTCTTGCAGAACTGAAACTCTCTATTGTTAAACAACCCCCATCTTCCCCTCCACAAGCCCCTGGCTAACAACCATTCTACTTTCTGTTTCTATGAGTTTGCTCTTCTAGATGAGTGGAGTCATACAGTACTTGACTTTTAGTGTTTGGCTTATTTTACTTAATGTAGTATCTTTGAGTTTCATCCACATTATAACACGTGTCAGAATTTCCTTCCTTCTTAAGGCTAAATAATATTCCATTCTATGTATATAGTACAGTTTGTTTGGTATATAATTTAGACACTTATCTGTCAATGGACATTTGGGTTATTTCCCTCTTTTGGCTATTGTGAATACGGGTATACAATTTTTCCCCAACAACTCCGTGATCTTAGTGTTTTTCAACTTTGGTTACATTAGAATCACCTTCAGAACTTTTAGAAAATACTCTTCTTTGAACCATTACTCCAATTAAATGTCTAGGTGTAGAGCCTGTAGGTCAAAAAATCAAAGGTATTTGTTGAAAAATGCATATTCTCTGGAGACGGTGATTCAGTTGGTCTTGGGTGTGGTTCAGAAACCTGTACTTTTAGGAAAAGCTTCAAGATATTCTCATGATTGGATATTTTAGAAATTCCTGTCTAAACCATCAATTAAAGGTTACCTTAACTTTTCTGAAGCCGTATCCTTTGGCCATAAATGGTGTCAAACTTTTCTCTAGTTATCTTATGTGTCTTTGTCTTATAGCCCCACCTGGATTGTAAATTCATAAAATTGTAGAATTTTTTAATTCAAAGGGGGCCCCAGAGACCTCATAATCTGTTCAACCAAGGCTGCACCTTAATTGATTTTTTGGACTGGTTCTAGAAGCAAGTCGACATTCTCTCCACTCAATAGTAATTTAAAATTTTTATTTTTCCACAATGCCAGTGCCTGTTACTTTTAAGAAAGACTGTGTGTGACTACTGTTGTTCTTGTGAAAGTTTGGGTGCTTACGTGTATGCTTTCTGCTGCTCTGAGGAACCTGTCAATCAATGAGTAGGACAGTGTCATGACGTATAAGGGATTGAATGGAAAATGATTTCTAATTGTGCCTATCATGGCATGTGGCGCCCACATAACTGACTTGATTTTTAGGCCAGTTTCAACTCTACATTGGCTGTGAGACCCTTGACCAGGATGGATATAATTTTACCTTCTTCATTGAGTCGTGAAGCATAAGAGCTTTCATTAATTGAACATTGCTTATTCACCGACTGCTATTCTGGATGGATTGCATGGATTATTTGAGAGGACTATGAGGAAATAAGAGCTGAAAAATGTTGAATGACTTTCCGGCAAGTGACAAGACGTGGATTTGAAGTCAGGCTGATTTGTCAGCCCATTCTCTTAATTTCACATTGATGAAAAGAGAGGAGGTAAGTCAAATGGTTAGCAGAGTTTCTAGTCCATTATAGTAGCTCAGTAAGTTGGCCATCATCATGATGATTATCACAACTGCGACTAAACCCTACACGGCTCCTGTTGTGTACCAGGCACTGTTTTATGCACTTAACACATATCTATATACAAAATAATCCTATGAAGCTGTCCTATTATAACAGATTTTACAGATGAGGAAGATGAGAAATGGAAACTAAATTTAGGAAACTAAATGCAGAATACTAGTACTATTACTGATTAGTAATAAACTCTTCAAATTTGTTTCAACATAATGTTTTTCTACATGCTTTCCTTGCAGGCATGCCCTGAAGATAAAAATAAATATGAGAATATATTCAGGCGTTCTTTTTATGTCTCCCCGTTCTGCCCTCACAAAATTCTTTTTTTTAAGCTTTTATTTATTTATTCATGAGAGACACACAGAGAGAGGCAGAGACAAAAGCAATGGGAGAAGCAGGCTCCCTGTGGGGAGCCTGATGTGGGACTCGATCCTGGGATCACATCCTGAGCTGAAGGCAGACTTTCAACCACTGAGTCATCCAGGTGCCCCTGCCCTCACAAAATTCTTATGCAACTCAATCTGATACTATTTCACAGCATCTGATTTCTTAGCTATTTTGGGAGTAATCTATGGGGAAGGGACATTCATGGGGCCATTATATTTTTTAAATTGAAAGGAACCTTTGAGCTCTTCTAGGACAGAAGTCTCTAAAATAGAGTGCTTGTGCCTTAAGGGGTGTACAAGGTTATCCTTTGGAGTTGGTGAAGAAAATACTAGTGTAAAACCAAAGAGATTAAGGGCCAAGTGATTTTCCTGTCTTGAAGTTCAGTGGACATCTCCTAGACATTATCGTAGTGACTCTGGCTCCCACTGTCCCTGTCAACCCTCCTTTCCTGAAGCATTAACCTCCCTTAGCTGAATGAGTTCACACGGTTGTCCCTTTCTTCCTCTTCCTCTTCAGCTTCTCTTTTTCAGCCTTCTTTATGGGTTTCCCACTTCAGGAATCTAAAAAAATTGATAAATGGCTTGACATGACATTCTTACTTGCTCTATGCATGAGAAGGTCCTGGTTTTTCTATACAATGTCCCCTGAGACAAAGGTGGAAGGTCTATAACATGGACGAAGCTGCCTTCCCTATTTCATTTCCTTTCAGCATATTTGTGCTGTTATAGGTGAAGTTGGGTCCCATAAGAAGATTCGTTGAGGTCTCAGTCCCAAGTACCTCAGAAGGTGATTTATTTTGAAATAGGGTTGTTGTAGATGCAATTAGTTAAGTTAGATGACTTCATACTGAATTAGGATGAGCTCTAAATCCAATATGGCTGCTGTCCCCATAAGAAGAGAAGAGACACAGAGACTGAGATATTTGGAGAGAAGACGGCCACGAGATGGCAGGGGCATATATTAGAATGAAGCATCGCAAGCCAAGGAATGCCAGGATTGCTAGCAAACACCAGCATCTAAAAAAGGGAAAGATTCTCCTCTACAGGTTTCAGAGGGAGTGTGGCACTGCCTAAACCTTGATTTTAGATTTCCAGCCTCCAGAACCGTGAGAGAATAAATTTCTGTTGTTTTAAGCCACCTAGTTTGTAGTGCTTTGTCATGGCAGCCACAGGAAACAAATAGATGTGCCCACATAGGTAGATTTATGAATTCTATTTCCTTGCTTAAATGAAACTATCCCTCACTAAATGGACACTCTGCAAATATACCACCATTGAAGATAACATGTCTCATGCAATGCGGGTGGGGGGGCGCACGGGGACATGGCAACACTGCACCTTTCATCAACCGCCATCATGAGGGATAAATGAAGACCTTTCCATTTAACCAGGTAAGAAGATAGGTAAGAATGTCTTGAAATTACCAAGGTATTTGGTCTCTAGATTTCTATCTACTATTATTATGATGAATCAATCTTACCCCAATTCATATTTGCCTTGGGGTATTAACTAATGAGAGTATCAAGACATCATGATCGATAGGACATTTAATATTCCTTATTTCGTCTTTATCTCACCCTTTTAAATATTTTATTTTTATGCCTTTTAATAATGTGTGCAGTATTTCTTCATTAAGATGCACATTTCTGCCTTATAAATGAGAGGATAAATAAAAGCATATGTATTGGCAGTATGTATTCATATATATTTTTTATTGATGGGGTGTATGATCAAGTCAACACCTCCCCTACTATTATGCATGAGGAAACAGGTGGGGTCCAGGGTAGTTATGTGAAGTAGTCACCCAAGGTAAGAACTTGAACGGGGTTCTTCTGACTCCAGGCCAGGATCAAGCTCCTATACTATTTTCTCTCCCTCAGAGATATTTTTTAAAAAAGATTGTGTTTATTTTTTTATGAGGGACAGAGAGGCAGAGACATAGGTAGAGGAATAAGTAGGCTCCGTATATGGAGCCTGAGGGTAGGACTCGATCCCGGGACCCAGGGTCATGACCTGAGCCAAAGGCAGATGCTCAACCACTGAGCCACCCAGGCAACCCACTCACCCACCAACCCCGAGATTTAATGAGTTGCACACTTTGCCCTATTTTAGCACCATGAGGCCTTGGACAGTTTTGAGTAAAATGCTCCTGTTATCAAGCCTTGTAGGAAGCAGAGGTATTCCAGAGTGCCAGGCAAATGTGTTCTTGCATTCCAGCTCTGCCACCCAATCGCTGTGTGGCCTGGAGTGAGTACCTTAACCTCTCTGATCTTTACTTTTCCTCTATTACAAAGTGTGGATATTTGTGTTACAAACATTGGATTGTTTTTAAAGAATAAATAATATAATGTTCTCGAAGTGTAAACTACATGCTCCTTCAGGTCTAGTTATATAGTAATAGTTGATGTTACTGTTGAGATTACGAAGATGCAGGAGACATAGTTCTGGCTTAAATATGGAGAGGTTTCTGAGAACCAATGGATAAGACACCCATGTCCAGATGTATGATTTTCTTGGCCAGGCATGTGGCACTCTAGTGGCACCCCAGCCTGGGGAGACCAGTGATGATTTCCATGGGCTGACACTAGCTGGGGGGGGACTGATCTGCAATTCCCACTACCTTTCCCTGAGCCGAGCTCACATTCCTGGTACTAAGAAGTTCACATTGCAAATTGGGAGTCACATTATTTCTCTCATTTTGGTTACAGGCCAAAACATAATGTTTTCTCCATAAATTTCTTAATGGAGAGTGTTCTCTCTCACTTGTCTCCGCTCTTGAGTCCACTGTAATCTGGCTTTTATCCATCAATTGCCTAGAAGCTGCCCAACCAAGGGCCACGGGGACCTCCTTGTCAGGTCCAATAGACATATCTTGATTGTTACCATGCTGTCTTGGTACTATTTGTCACTGCTAGGGACCACTTAACCCCTTCCTCCTTCTTAAAGGTTCTCTCTTTCTTAATCAAGAAACACCATACTCTCTTGGCTTTCTTCTTCTCTCTGGTGCTCCTTCTCACTCTCTTTTGCTGGCTTACATTCTTCTACTCTACATTACATGCTAGAACTTTGCCCACTTCTACCCAAGCCTCTATGCTTTCAGAACAATTCCATCTCTGGGCTGGGCATCCACTACCCTTGGTATTACTGATTACCATTATAGAGGGAGGCCTGGCCATCAAACTCACCTGTCAGGAGAAAGGCTTTTTCAAACTGCGTATGGTTCTGAATGCACCATATATCTCTGTCACAGTAGTCCTTTCTAGAGATGGTGGTTACATGGTGGGGAGGGTGTGTGTGCATGTGCACACACTAAGGACCTCTTATTTAATGCTCACACACCCCAGTCTGTCACCCTGTACATGTAGGTACTACTATACATATCCCCTTGGATGTCCTCTAGTGACTTCACACTCATTCTGACCTAAGTAACACTTAGGTCTCCCATAAACTTCCTCCTTTTCTTTCATCTCCGGTTTGAGTGAGTGCACCACCAAACCAGCAGTTGCTTAAGCCCAAACCTGATTATCATCCTTGGCACCTCTTGTTCCATTACCCCTAGCCTGATGCCCACCATTGATTACCAAGCCCTCATGAATTTACCTCCCCAAATCATATGCACCAGGTCATTTCTCCTCTTCCCCACTGATGCTGCTGTCCTCACTTCCATCAGGTCTGGCCCCCTTCAGGCCACTGACCATACTTAGCTGCCCTTTTTTGTAGTCTCATCAGGGGACTGACTCCCTTGTTTGAGTGCTTTCGTGGTTCCCTTTTGTCATCGGGATTTAGCTGGACTCTGCCCACCTCTTCAACCTCATTTCTAGCCTCTTCTCACCATACTCAACATTTCGGTCATACTTGGGGAGATCTCTAGTTGATTGTCCAGACAGAGTATACTTGGGACGAAAGAAGGTACCGTCAATTATTACCCCGGGAAAATGAAAACTCTCATGAAAACCAGGAGGCTCGGTCAACCCAAGTCATACTGAACCTTCACATGTGGTTCATGTTCTTTCATCTGTAGACCTGTTTTGAAGTCCCTTCTTTGCATTTTTGCACCTCTAGCCACCTGGGTGTTCTTCTAACAGTCAGTACCTCATCCATGTTATATATAAAGCACTCCATCAAAATTTTGGAAGCGTTTTATTTTTTTATTTTTATTATTTTTTTAGCTTTATTTATTTATTTACTTACTTACTTTATTTATTTATTCATGAGATACACAGAGAGGGAGAGGCAGAGACATAGGCAGAGGGAGAAGCAGGCTCCATGCAGGGAGCCCGACGTGGGACTCGATCCTGGGAGTCCAGAATCACACCCTGAGCCAAAGGCAGATGCTCAACCGCTGAGCCACCCTGGCGTCCCTGAGCATTTTATTTTTAATTGAAATACAGTAAACATTACAGTATTAGTTTTAGGTGTACAACATAGTAATTTGACATTTATATACATTATGAAATGCTCACCAAAGCAAGTGCTGTTACCATCTGTAACCATACAAAGTTATCACCATATTATTGACTATATTCCCTA